CTCTAGAACAACTGTTAAGAGGAGACTGCGCAAATCAGGCCTTCATGGTCAAATAGCTGCTAGGAAACCACTGCTAAGGAGAGGCAACAAGCAGAAGAGATTTGTTTGGGCCAAGAAACACAAGGAATGGACATTAGACCAGTGGAAATCTGTGCTTTGGTCTGATGAGTCCAAATTTGAGATCTTTGGTTCCAAGCGCCGTGTCTTTGTGAGACGCAGAAAAGGTGAACGGATGGATTCCACATGCCTGGTTCCCACTGTGAAGCATGGAGGAGGAGGTGTGATGGTGTGGGGGTGTTTTGCTGGTGACACTGTTGGGGATTTATTCAAAATTGAAGGCACACTGAACCAGCATGGCTACCACAGCATCCTGCAGCGACATGCCATCCCATCCGGTTTGCGTTTAGTTGGACGATCATTTATTTTTCAACAGGACAATGACCCCAAACACACCTCCAGGATGTGTAAGGGCTATTTGACCAAGAAGGAGAGTGATGGAGTGCTGCGGCAGATGACCTGGCCTCCACAGTCACCGGACCTGAACCCAATCGAGATGGTTTGGGGTGAGCTGGACCGCAGAGTGAAGGCAAAGGGGCAAACAAGTGCTAAACACCTCTGGGAACTCCTTCAAGACTGTTGGAAAACCATTTCAGGTGACTACCTCTTGAAGCTCATGGAGAGAATGCCAAGAGTGTGCAAAGCAGTAATCAGAGCAAAGGGTGGCTATTTTGAAGAAACTAGAATATAAAACATGTTTTCAGTTATTTCACCTTTTTTTGTTAAGTACATAACTCCACATGTGTTCATTCATAGTTTTGATGCCTTCAGTGAGAATCTACAATGTAAATAGTCATGAAAATAAAGAAAACGCATTGAATGAGAAGGTGTGTCCAAACTTTTGGCCTGTACTGTATGTCCGCTGACTCTGACCATACTCCGAGGAGCAGTACATAGCAGCTGGATCCATCTAATAAAGTTTGAGCCAAATCCAAATTTATTCAAGGTTTTAAGTAAAAACGGCCAGGATACGCAGTCAAATGCTTTTTCCGCGTCGACCGCTAATATCATGCAGGGGATAGTTATTACTATGCTCCATAATATTAAGTAGTTTGCGAACGTTATCTGGCAAATGCCGGCCGACTATAAAGCCTGTCTGGTCCGGGTGCATTACAGTAGTGATGACCAATTCAACTCGTTTAGCTAGTACAGACGTCAATTTACAGTCTGTATTTAAGAGTGCAATCGGCCTGTAAGAGGCACAGTCTGTGGGATTTTTATGCTCTTTGGGTATCACCGAAATGATCGCCTCCTTCCAGGTCGACGGCAGCTCACCTTTTTCAAGAGCACTGAAGTATGCTCTCTCCAAGACTGGGATGATGAGATCTATGTAGTTCTTATAAAATTCACTGGTGAATCCATCTGTACCGGGACGCTTGTTGTTTCTAAGGTTTTTAATCGCCTTCTCAATTTCTTCTTTAGTTATCGGTCTGTCAATGAACTCAGCTGAGGTAGGATCTATTATAGGAAGTTTAATGGATTTTAAGTAGTTGTCAATTATTGCTGGGTCACTTCCTTTGTCTTCATCTGAGTATAAGTCTTTGTAGAATGCTGCAAAGGCTTCTGAAATTTCATTTGGTTTATGTAGGAATGGTTTGTCTGATTTGTTACTTTTAATTTTGTTTACTGTTGTAAGGCTGCATTGTTTTCTCAACTGAGATGCTAGTAGGCGGCTAGCTCTACTTCCATGCTCATAATATTTTTGTTTCAAGAACCTTAAATTTCTTTCAGTTTTTTCCACCAGGAGGTCATCGAGTTCCTGTTTGGCCTTTTTCAATTTATTCAGATTTTCAGCTGACGTATTTTCTTTAGGTTGTTTTTCAAGGTCATCTACCTTATTTTCCAGTTATATACATTTAGCTGCCCTAGCCTTTTTAAAAGTTGAAGCTAACTGGATTATCTTTCCCCGTAACACAGCCTTGGCTGCTTCCCAGAGTATGATTGGTGACACATCGTCTTTATCATTAAATTTCAGATAAGAGGTAAACTCGTCTCTTAGAGAAGCCTGAGATGCCGGTATCCCCAACTGTCACAGTTCATCTCGGCCTCACCACTCTGCACCTGCCTGCTTCAATCTGCCAATCAGACACACCCCTCTCATCAAGCCAACTCCTCTCACCTGTGCCCTCTGCTCTGCTCTGGCTGCATTTAAGCCCCTGCTCCACACTCATTCATTGCCAGATTGTTCTCGATGCTTGCACCAGACTCTCCAGCGTTTCTCTGCCTGATCTCCAGGTTACGACCCTGCTTGCCTCCGACTATCCTGCCTAACCGATCTCCTGGAAATCACCTCAGCCTTCCGTCCCCGACCACGATCCTTGCCTGTCCCTTTCTGGATTCTGCCTATCTGCACCCTTGGCTATCCGGTGATTACCTGATTCAGCTCTACAGAGTGAGTGTTACTCCTGTTTCCTCTGTGGCTTCCTGCAGTTCTGTGACTCTGATTATTCCTTCACTGAGTGAGTACAAGACTGAGTTTTACGGACATTACTCACCAGTGTCCTGGTTTGGTTTGGCTGAGCCTAACCTCCAATCCCCACTAGAGACTGTTAAAGGCCAGCGGCCAGAAGACAGACTGTTTTGCCTACTGCCATTGTTTCCTAGACATGTGCTAATAAAGTTTGTTACCAACAATACCTGCCTGTCTTTGTGCTGCTATTGGGTCCAAACCAAACCCATTACACCAACAGGGAGGTATTTAATCTCCATATAACAGAAGTGGCCGCCTTGCCCACATCCCAAACCACTGATACTGGTGCATGATCAGACAGGGTTATATTGTGAATTTGACAATCTACTGCCCTAAATGATTCATTACTAGGCATGAAAAAATAATCAATCCTGGAGTATGTGGAGTGAGGGTGGGAGTAGAATGTATAATCTCAATACCTTGGGTGTTTATATCTCCGGACATCTAGGAAGCCAAATTCTTCGCAACAATTAAGGGCCCTACTCACTGTTGTTGCAGAAGACCCATTTGTGTCAGTGCTATTAGAGCTTGGATCTGTGCTGCGCAGCTCTGCACACTTTAGCTCATGGCGGTTTGGTAGGCTAAACTGGACATGGTGCAAACCACTGTGGGCTACCAGACCAAACTACATCCATTTCTGCCCAAGTGTCTGCCGCAGCGGGGCCGGAGACGAGCAATTTAGGCTATTTAGTTGTGGGAAGATGTTAAAAAGCTGCATGAGTGAAGTGCTCCAGACATAAAGGCTGTCAGTGCTATTAACAAAATTTCCTCCCTGGTTATTGAATACCAATATAGCAATCGTTGATTAGTACTTCATTATCAAGAGTAGGCTAATAAACATTCAAACAGGCACCCTATTTCATGTTAATAAAAAAAGTACCTCTTCCCTCACTGATATAGCAAGCACCAACACTGCTGCACAGGAATGCATTTAAAAGTGTGTTTTTCTTTGACAGTCATTTTGTAACATAGCAGTGGTGGAAAGTAACTAAGTACATTTACTCAAATACTCCACTTAATTTTGAGGGACTTGTATTTCCATTTTATGCTACTTTATACTTCTTCTCACAGACATTTTATAAGCCAATGTTGTACTTTTTACTGCACTTACATTTATTTACTTACATTCAAGCCAACTAATAATTCATGATGTATTATTATAGAGTAAGCCGCGCCTCTACGGAAAATGGCAAACATATTGATTTATTCATTACTGCACTGAGTATACAACTGGATAGACTGTGATTAGACTGCATGAGTTGTATGAGAGTTTGTAAGGGTGTTTTTATATTGCTGATGTTAACCCTGGTTCCAAATCAGTCTATGAAACAGTACTATTGTCCGTGAAGACGTGAGAAAAAAGCAAAGTTTTCTTCATAAATTCAAGGTACCACAACATGACTATTATACAAATGGTTATTTTTTTGGGTGAAATATTCCTTTAAAGTTATGAACACATTAGTGCATCAATAATGATAATACGATAATATAATACTAGGTTATTCTGAATTGTGCCACTCTGCATGCTGATTAATTTTACTTTTGGTGCTTTCAGCTAATACTTTAGTACTTTTACTTAAGACTTTGAATGCATGACTTTTACATGTAATATTTTGACATTATGGTATTAATACTTTTACATAAGTAAAAAGTCTGAGTACTTCTGTCACCACTGTCACATCCCCTCTTTACTTATAGACCATAGACTAACTATCCACTGGCAGGCATGAAACACGTTCAGTCAGTAATTAAAGGAATGCAGTGGTTTTACCAAACAGCATTTGTTGTATTGCCAAATATTCCACATTGAGATTTGAATTAGTTAAGAAATCAATATCCCATGTCCAGAGCTTATGCATTCAGACCAATATAATTTTCCCTCATGAGACAGTGTCGAGTGTTGACTGAAACCATATGGATCACATACTTACTGTATATGTTTAATAGAGATGAAATTTCATATCACAGTTATAGTGGCCAAAATAATCACAGTTATCAGTATTATCGCAGTATTATAAAAATGGGCTGATGAGTTCAAAAACTGCTGATACACACACTGAAATAATTTTAGTAGTTTTATATTGAAAACCACAAATTACATCAGCAGCACTATGTCCCTTTTGTTTGCATTAATATTAGTAAAATAACAAAGCCAATTCCTTACATAAACATATGAAAACCATATCAAATGAGCATGAACATTAAAGATGGCACCATGTTGCTGACTTCGGGTGATGCTGGACAGAATTTACTGTGAGCTTTTCAAAGTGCGGTAAACAGATATGGTTTGAATGATAATTAAAAACTGACACAGTAATTTTAATCATTAGGAATTTACCACAGTTTATAGTGAAACTGGTAACCATTTCGTCCCTAATGTTGAGTCATATCAGCACAAACCAAACTTTGTCCTGATAAATCTTCTCATTTGACCATTGACATAACTCATAATAAACGAGACAAACAACGCCGCCTCTTTCATAAAAGTGTTTATTTTAATTTCCTGTTGGCTCCATCATATTTGTACAGTTTATCACTTCAAAAAAACGTAAGTTTCTGTCTCATCGTTATAGTCGAGCATTTCCTTCTGATTGTGTTGTCAGTTTTGTGCTGGAAGCCGCCGCAGTTCCAGTGAGAAACACAGAGGAGAGATTGCTTACACCAGTGGTCCCAGTTCACTGTAACAACAGGATTTTATCTACTGGATTAGATCAGCAGCACACAACACTGAGAGAGGAGAAAAAAACAACACACATTTAAACACCAAAAATCTACATATACTCTTACTTTACACACACACCCATAAACACACACACACCCCCTTTCTGTCTCTCTCGCACACACACGTTCACAGTCGCTCAGCTATTTTGATTGAGAACAACCACACACTAACACCAGAAACCAACAGACACCAAAGTAACATTACCTACAGTACAAAAATCAAAAAATATCTCAAAATATACAATTATTATTTACAGCTCAAGTATACACCCTGTCACTCTTACTATAGATACTCAGTGTGAATTTATCAGAATGTACATCGATATGTACAGGTTAAATACATCTTCTTAAATACTATAAATATAACTATGGGTTTGGTCACATAAAGACTATTTGCACAGCTAAATAAATACACTATTACTCTATTTTTGTCGAGTTAATCACAGTAAATCAACTGAGTTAACCTCTACAAGTTGCTTCAAAGTACATAATCCAACACAGCTGACACATGGACGAGACAAAGAGACCCTGGAGTTTGTTTTGTTGTTTTTTTAAATAAGATATATCAGTGCTAAATGCTAACACCTTGCTACTGATCAGATTAGAACCAATACGAGATGGCTGGTGATTTTACCACTGTGCACAGTGTTTTTAAATGTTAGAGGCAAAGACCTGCTGTGCCTGGAGTGGAGACATGAGAACTCCTTGGCAAAACTGTGCATCATATATTGAAACAAACCAGAGGTTTAAACATGAAGATGCTGTTTCCAAAAGACTATATAAACATGTGTTTTGATTGAGCTCTCTCCTCCACACCAGTATCAGCTCAGGTTTGCCACCTCTGACATTTGTCACGTATTCATTGTGCAGATCAGTCTGTAGCTACAGCACACACTAACGGTGCACCTCTTGTGACAATGGCAGTGCATTTCAGAGTGAAGACTTAACCTCCAGTGACCCCTCTCAGGATGCAGGAATCAGACCATAACTAACATAATCTACAAGTTTCATCATCCAGTTTACCCACACTGACTCTATGTTTAACTCACTGACTGGTGCTTTCTCACTAAGACATGAAAACTCCTTTGTGCTCACTTTCCTGTGCTTCCATAAATGTGCTTTAACTCTCAAAGCTGCAGGTGAGGACAGGTGAGTGCCTTCACTTGCGGTTATGTGCCACCTGTGTCGCAAGCCGATTGGCCAAAACATTTGGTTCCTTGTGCATGTTATCACAGTAGTCCTGCTAAATGTTAGCGATTGAACAGGTCATAATCTGACTGTGGCGTGTTTACATGTTCATCTGTAACATCTTGAAACAACACACTCACATTAAAGAGAGACCATTTCACTGTGATTTATGGGGAGACCAGAGTGGAAAGATCCCTTTGTTCCTCTAGTGTTTTGTTTTTATAGAGGTTTACATTCTCATAGTGATTTATGACTGCACTTCACTCCCCTGTAATGCAGACTTTCTCCACTTTAACCCTTTTATTATTATTATTACAAAATACAGTATATGACATCTGGACTGGGTGTCAGTACTCAATACCTATTTGTAATTGACTGAAACAAACCAAGCAGTATTGAAACTTCTCCAGTGAAACGATATTTGCATTTAATCCTGTTTGTACCCAGACAGAAAAAATGACTATTTGTATGGATTTGCTGGCTTTTAATAAAATGTGTGATTGATCAATTAGCTACGACCCATATGGTCTGTGGTTTGGTTGTGTATTTGATGGAGCTGGCAGTTCAGTGTGCTGAGATGCCAATATGATGTTTGAAAGCATGGCTATACTACACGCCTGTGATGTCTGGTGGCGTTTTACATAACGAAATGCTTCCATTCACATGATGGGTATCGAATGAAGTAGGAAAAAAAATTCTCTTGGTATTGGTATCGCTTTAAGGGTACTGATATCATAATTTTTTTAAACGATACCCAGCCCAAGTGACAACAGAATCTTAAAGAACATACAAATCTATGAAAGACAGGAGGGAAATATGATATGATATAAAATCAGTTTTTCTGGAAGATCAGCAGGGAATTATATGATTCATCACTTCAGTATATAATGTATACACCAAGCAATATCTCACAGCTACTGTAGGCACTACTAAGCACTAGGTACTGTAGCCTGAAACCTGAGCAGATATAAGACATCACATGACCCCATATGACAACAGTGTAATAGTGTGGGTTAGCACTTATATTATGTAAAATAGGGAGGACCTAGCAGGGCCAGCTAATGGCATGGAAGCATGAGTCAACACTGGTGCGATAGCAGAGTAAAATTTACGTCAACAAGATCAGCTGAACAAATGCACAAGAAACTGGATGTTTTTGACGAAGTGGCTTTTGATACATGTGTGTTTTGTGCCTCTGAGCCCTCCATCTCTTCCTGTATTAATATTGCTAACCAATACATATTCTGTGACAGCATTCCTGTGATTGATGACAAAGCTTTTGTCAAGCCTGTACTTAAACAACTCCAGGGTCTCTACCTAATTAAAGTGCTCAAGTGAATGAGACGAGACATTGGTCCAAACTCTACATTGACGCACCACATGATCGAGAAAACAAACTGACAAAAGCATAAGGCGAACAGACAACAGAGATGCTGTTCAGGCACCAAACAATGTGACTGACTGTGCTTCTCACTACATCTGTTCAGTCTCAAGTATTGGTGATGTCTCAGGGAGGGGCCACGAGACAGAGAGAGTCATTGGCTCCTCCGCTGGCCGGCAGAGACACCCAGTGGTGAAATCTGTGTATTACCACTTATTCCAAACATTTATGTCACTGCACATTTTCCACATTATACCTCTAAACATACATTGTCATACAAGATTATACATAAAAAAAGGCTGTAAGTTTTCACACCTTAGTTCACAAAAAGACATCAAAGTGTAAATCGTAGTGCTTATGAAATGATGCCCATAGTGCGCACAATTTGAGGAATGTACAACAATTAAACCCAAACATCTTCCTCTTAGTGATGACGTATGATAAATCCACAGCGTGGCATGGCAGTAAACCTCTTACTCAACGCACTGTGACAACATCAGAGATGTATATTCTTGTAAGACGTCGGCAGTAAAATGTCTCATCTGCGTACTGCTGAACAATCAGCCATGCAGGTGGAGCAGACAAAGCAAGGTGTCCGCTCTCCTCTTCCTCCTCCACATCACAAGAGGATCTGTATCTATGATGCGTTGCCACGGCTTCCCCTGGGTAACGCAGCTCTATTTTTAAGAGGCAGGGTCAACGGCGGCTCTAATTCAGCGGCAGACGGCACACTGACACTCGCACACATGCACATCTGCACGTACACACAGACAAAACTCACATTTTCCAATTCCTTCCTGGTGTGCCTCTCTAATACACACACACACACACACACACACACACACACACAGATGAGCGTGAAACCGCTCTGCTTATCTGTGCTGGTGCACCGCCACCCCTGTCCTTCTAAGGCGTTGATTAAAATGGAAACGCTTGATTAAAATGATTGATTCAAATGGAAAAGCTTTGTCTAGACCAGCTGGGACTGGAACAGCGCAGAGACGATGTGTGCAGTGCTGCTGGCAGCAGCTCCAGAGCCTCGTTTGTCGAGGAGAAAGGTTGTTTAAAAGAAAAAGTGCTGCTCTGTGTTAAGGCTCAGAGATGCTCTAAAATGGTAGCGGGTGTCTGTACTTCGTGTTCATGGAGAAGGAATGAAGAGGCAGAAAAAGTTTCCCCTCGTTTTTGCACTACTGTGGTGTATATACACGATTTACGGTGACATCTCAGACGATTGCACAACACGTATGTACAGTATTCTACATCAGTGGGGAAAGTAGGGATAGAAGGAGAACCACAGTTTTACAAGGACCCTACTTTGACTGGTTATTATTGCTGACACATGATAGGCACAATAAAGATGTGTTTGTGTGCTTGTAACACTGTTTACACTATCAGAATCACTTGGTACATACTGTTATGGATGCATTTCTAATCATTTTGTTTTTCTAGATGAGAAATGTTCTCATACAGTGATACAGATCATGAAAATATGTTTTTTTATCTGACTCTCCTTCCATCCTGTCCCCACACATAACAATCCTCCACAACTGAACCAGAATGAGATGATGATCTCAAAGATCTAGGAACATCCAGCCGTCTCAAAAAGAACCTTCTCCAAACTGGTAAACACACGATTCAGTAAAGAATTTCAGCCTTGCACACACCTTAACCTCAGCCAGAGCTTATCATAAACAAAGCCTGTATCTAAGCCCTCAGTGGACCTTTCTAAGCTTCATTCATTTCTCTGCCCTTGTAATACACTGACACATGGAAAAGGTCGACATATCTGGTGGGACTCATATTCCCATGATCCCTTTATTACGGCTGGGATTGGCAGCACGGATCCTACAGCGGGAAGAAGGGAAGAACCGTATGCGAGGAGCGTAGGGACAGAAAAGGGGGGATAGAGTGACTCAGCTCTGGGGGTTAAGGTGTGATGAACGCTGCAACGACTGGCAGTAGATTTCCTCTCCTTGACCTCCTCTGTTCCTCCCTTTCTTCCTCTGTCTCCCTCTCACCAAGCAGGGCCGGGATATAACGGACGGGAGGATCTATGAGCTCAGTGATCATAGCTCAGATTCAGGCGAGCCGATGTTCTGGTAGCCCGTCTTGGTGCTGGTGCCGTAGTTGGTGCTGGTCATCTCGTGGGCGCCACCGGGGCCCAGGTAAGCGCGGTGGGCGGGCATTGGGGAAGGAGCCTCGCTGGGGTTCTTGCTGAGGATGAAACGCTGCTCGTCCTGCTCTTCCAGGTTAGAAATGTCCTTCATCATGCCTTTACGGTAGGAGACGGACAGCTTATTGGAGCCATCTGAGATCAGGTTGAAGTGGCGGGCGATGAAGACGAGGGGTAAAGGCAGCATAGCCACTACAATGAGGGAGTAAGCCATGGCTAAAGCCCAGGGAGGGTAGCTGTGGAAGCTCTCTGCGCCCTGGGAAACAAAGAGTGCAGAGAAAAGAGGTGAAGAAAAAAACAAAGAAGGATATCTCCTTTCTTTCTTTCTTTCTTTCTTTCTTTCTTTCTCACACGAACTAGAGCAGCACTGACCTCAGCCTCCACCCAGGCGTTGTATCCTGCAGGACTGACGGCCATCTCGATGACAGTGGCGACGATGAGCACCACCAGGACGGCCGGCGACACGTACCTCCACATGTAGTAATAGAAAGAGTACGGCCTGAAACCAAGCATGTCCTCCAAGTCCTGCATAAACCTGCGAGATGGAAGGAAGGAAGAAAGAGTGGGAAGGAGTTTCATTGACGTGTCCCAGTTGGCAAATGAGCAAGCATGCACCACACCAGAGTCCTGAGGCATGTTCAATCTAAAAATGGTGTGCATCATTTTGCCACGGTTTAAAAAACAAAACGACATGTTTCCTTGAAAAAGTGTGCACTTGTACTACGTTGTTGTCTCAGTAGTAGTAGGTCTGTGCTTGTGTACAATTTTTGTTTTTATTTCATACTTGCTTTGGCAATGTACCTCACAGTATAAAAGGCAGTGCACTTGAGCAACACAACAGGGTGTTCAATGCACCACAGTTCCCGTGTCAATACACATTTTGCTACATTTTGTCGGGGCTGAATGCAGCCCTGGATTTCACCCATCATTACTAATTACACCTGTGCAGTACGTCTGCTGTGAAAAAGCTCCATTGTTTGTTGTTATCTGTCCCGGCTGTGTCTGCTCACTTACTACTACTGTTCATGTACAGACGCTCAGTAGTTAGAAGTAAGTTGAGATTTTGGACATGTATGAATCTATAAAATGTGAAGCACTGAGCTGTGGGATTGCTAGAAGGAAGTAGTTTTAATTATGCATTTGTCTTTGAAACAGACCACAGCGCTCTTTTCCCAAACTGATCCGACACACTGTCCACATGCTGCCTTACAATTAATTCTATTCAAATATGGCTTCAATTTTCAGATGAGTTACCTCTTAGTGCCGTAGATCCAGGCGACAGAGACGTTCTCCAGGATCACCACCACAGTGAGAGGCAAACCAGCTGAGTAGTCATCAAACATTGTGACAAAGTAGTTCCCCGAGCGCTGCACAAACAGCAGGCCTAACAGGAAGGCTATGATACAGCAGACCACTGAGAAGGGGAGGAGAAACATCATGTGAGTACCACAAATACTTTAACTTCACCTAGTACAAGACAGGCAATATTAAGAAGGTCAGCTCACCACACAGGATCTCTTTGCGGATCTTGAAAGCATCCAGGATGGGTGTGGTGATGCCAGTCATCGTGCCGATCATGCTTCCCAGACCCAAGTTGATCAGCATGAAGAAGAACATGACCGACCAGAAGGGACTGGCGGGGAAATGTGTCATTGCCTCTGTGAAGGCGATGAATGCCAGGCCAGTGCCCTGAACCGCCTGGAGGACGGAGAGATGGAGGTGGACGTCAAAGGTGGCTAATGATGGCTAATGTGCTGGATAAAATTAGTGATCCTGAGTGGAAGATGACCCACTAAACTTCCATTTCTGGGTTCATTAATTATAGTGCACCCATTTAAGGTGATGTGCTCATCCAGAGACACTTTTGGTATTATGGTATTTTTACCCCTCCCCACCCCGTTATTTTTTTATATAGTGAGACATCTATTTTGTATCATCACTTAAACACATCTTGATAGCTTAACACATTTATTCAGAAATACTCAGAACGATCACATTCTCATTTCAGCTTGTAAATTCTCCCTTTCTGACCTTGTTGAGTTCGTCCTCCAGCACACAGGCATCCAGACTCAGCTGGTTGAAGGCGTCCTCCTTCACCGCCTTAATGATGCCGTACATCTCTGCGTAGTCCTGGGCGGACAGGTGGGAGAAGTTGATGTGAGGAGGGATGAGCTCTTTGCTCAGCACACCTGTGTTTAGAAAGCCCAGAATCTTCTCTGCATTCCTGCACACAAACAGTATATATGGAGGAGAAGGACGTGTTAGTGAGTAAAGGTCACATTAAAATCAGTTTGACAAAGACAGATTGGTCAGGTAGTATTTATTACAGGACGACACACTCACTCGACAACACACTTCTCGTTCATGACGTTCGCCTTGAACCCCAGAACAGCAAACACAACTAAAGTGGCGAGGATGGAGGTAACAAAGTTGATAATGGAGACGAGCGCTGCATCAAAGTGGCAGTTGTTGTCTCGCTTGTTGTAGCTGGAGAAAGCGATGACGCCTCCGAAGCCCAGACCGAGAGCGAAGAAGACCTGCGTGGCTGCTTCTCTCCACACCTGTGGCTCCAACATCTTTTCCAGCTGGAGAGAAGAGAGGGGAAAATGTCATATTTTTGTCATTTATCATCTTAAAAGACCTTGAGCACTGATGTTCTCCCCTCATGTAGCTTCCTGACAGTACTGTATAAGCTACATAGTAGCTTTCATTAACTCTTGATTGAGGCTCCTGTATATCACCCTGAGAGAAATACTCAAACTACACCAATTATTTACAGCTGGCCTGATATAACAAATTGTTTGAACACGTGGCCATGCACTATGTATTACTACTAACAGACCCACATGTTAGTCTGTGGCAACTGCAAGTGTGACTTCTACAAACAATTCTACAAACTTCAACTCAAAGCAGAAAAGCGCCCCACGTCATCTCTTTTTTCATCATTTTTTTCCCCATTGTCCAATCGGATGATTTGAGAGGCGACGGGTCTTTTGTAGTAGTCACGACAACAAGTTGACAGTTGGTAAACAATGGAGGAGATACTGGTGGAAGTAGTTGCTGGATACCCAGAGTTATACGGCCTGACGATAGACAGCAGGTTGTCAAATTGCCCTCAAGCCATCCTAAAATATGCCTGGTAACGTGCATCATGGAGGTGAAGCTCCTGGACCAACTGGTGGTACTCCCTGTGATCCACCCTTTTTATTAGCGTCTCTTGTACCCACACAGATCTCTGTTTCCCTGTGTCCAATAAATTATTTGCTGACAGCCTCTCACCCTCAACCAGAGCTTCAGCAAGTACCCTCTGCCTCAACATTTTAGGAACTAGCTACTAATTACTGTCAGATAACTACAATAAATAAATAAATAAATAAATAAATGGTAGACTGATTACACGGGAAGTTAAGAAAAGGGAGGTTAGTCTGTGGTTGCCTGGCATCAATAAAAGGTGCAGCAAGTGTTTTCTTTTCCACTAGTGGCATTTAGTGGGGGAAAAAAAGGCAGTGCAGCACGCCTCCCATTTTGTAACCTGCAAAACGCTTTCTGTGTGATTGGGGCCATAGGCAACCATGCTGACAGAGCTAGGGTTTTAATGCCATGGGAAACTGGAGGGTTGGCATCATGACATTGTTCTGCCACCATGGGTAAGGATACTGGTATAAGATACCATATGAGCACAGTGCAGAGCGGTGGCAATTAGCTGGCCTGTGGGATACACACACAGGGACCTTAAATGCACCAACATGTCTACCACAACTACCACAGAGAAATTACACAGTACACACACACAGATAGAGCGTGACTTAATTCTCTACTCAGGGTGCCATATACTCCACTATATCTATGCATAGCAAGTAGTTGTGTGCTGCTACATTCATGTTCTCTGTTGCATACAGCTCCTTTATTAAGACATAATGCAACAGTAACAGTACTCCTATGGTAATATACTGCACTCACATGTGATATCCACAAACTAATTCACATTTCATGAATTAATTTGTCGAGCAAATAATATGGTAATTGCATTTGTTTTGACAATATGATATGACGCCATATTCCTTTGTAATCATATATATTCACCACTAGAGGGAGACATCACCTCAACACACAACTCAATGTGAATATTAATGATATTCTTGTATGAGTGGCCTTGGTGGTAAAACAGCTAAAACCATCAACCACAGCTGAGCAGTCTGCATATACAAAGTGTCACTGATGTTACATACGTGTCTGGCAAACAGTCAGTGAATGAGTGATCAAGGCCAAGACAACAGCCAGTTTAAAAGGGAAGTACGCCCATTTTCAAAATTCATACATATTATTCCTATGGTCTAAGACAGACTAAAAATATCAGTAAACATGAACAACTCTTTCTCAAATACAGAAACTAGGGTGCTAAAACTAGGTTATAAAGTCTGGATGCTCCATAGACAATGAATGGTTAAAGATGTTATAGATGACAGTGAAATCACCCAGTGGGGAATGTTCGGAGTATATGGGGAGATTTTCTGTTTCAAAACGTGAACACTATCATAGAAAAAAACTCATTTGGATAATAAAGACAACACAAAGTCAGGGCCCCGTTCATTGTCCATGGAACAGGTCCAGATTTTATTCCCCTTTGACATCAAACATGTGAGACTTACTTCTCTGGTCTGCTCGGGCCATGGAAATAAATTACTGGAATTATTAATTTAGGTGGTGTTCCCCTTTAAGACTACATTTCCCGCTCCAGCACGCCACAATTACACTGTGGACAACCACAGCAAACTACTACATACGTATTATTATTACTATTATTACTCTCACCTTAGGGGTGAACATGTGAGCGATGCCGTCCACCGCTCCCTTCAGCATCAGACCTCGCACCAGGAAACAGAAGAGCACCACATACGGGAAGAGAGAGCTGAAGTACATCACCTTAGAGAGACAGAGAGAGAAAGAAAGTCAGGTCCATTACCCATTGTTGCCATGGACACGCTTCTCTGAGGCCTCACACATGAACGAGGACCAAACTGTAACCATACACACACACACGATGAATCAATCCCAAAACTGCTTTGTGTTTGCTTGGCACTGAATCTGTGAAATCTTACCAAATGTGGAGAGGACTCCTTGAGGTTTGGAGAGATGAGTCAAAAATCCTTCCTACAGCATTTCGGGGAATCATTGCAGTACTGACGATGATAATTGGATTACTACGTTTAGTGTTTAAAAAACCGTGTCAGACCTTGGCGATCCGTGTATTTTCCTATTGAAAATGTGGGCTGGATGCTGGGCTGTGGTGCATGAGTCACTTTCTGGATCGAGATTACAGGATGTTGTTGCAGTTGTTGCCAAACGAAGCATTTTCCATCTGCATCCTGAACCGGTCTTTGCTTGGTTCAGTTTAAGCTTATTAATGTTGCATGTGTCTCCTCCATAATATAGATGAGATCCAAAAATAGACTAGTGCTGATGAGAGGCTTTAGCATCTCACCTTTGACTGAAAGGCATTAGCAAAGTGAATAAAACACTCGCTGATATGGAGGAATCACGGATTAAAACAGAATTCTAAAAGCTTTTGTTAAAATGATTTATTGTGTACATCTTCACACAGAGTCTATGGTGCGCTAATCTCTATAGTTTGCAGGCTCAGCCTCTGTTGTGAAGCCATGGAGACCCCGTACCTTCCCAGAGGACTGGATGCCCTTGATGACAGCCAGGCAGACCAAGATCCAAGCCACCAACAGGGACAGGGTCATCTTCCAGTTCAGGCCGCCGGTGTCCTCGATGGAGCTGGTGATGTTGAGAGTCTGGCGGTACCAGAAGTAGGTGGTGGCTGAACTCTTCTCACACTCTGGCTCCACAACTGCAACAGCACAGAGGAAAGAGAGGGAAACAGCATTAACAGAGGAGTCTGCACATAGACAGAATAAATGATGGATATCTGATTTGATTCTAAGGAAACGAGAGATATATTTTTTTTTATTTAATCTTTCAGATTTATAAAGCTGGTGGTGGAAAATGGACGGAGTTACTTTTGCTTAAGTAAAAGTAGCAAAACTACAATGTAATACCTTGTTTTCAAAATTTGACTAAGAGTATAAAAGTATGAGCAGCAAAATGTACTTTAAGGTATTAAAAGTAGGGTATTCATCATGCAGAAAGGTTCATTTTAAAATGTTGTATTCATTGTATTTTATTACTGATGCATTTGTGTGTAAGCATTTAATTTTTCAAGACAACAAATTTGCAAAAACCTCCCCCTAACAACAATTTGTAATGTAGTAATGCATTTAAGTTATGCATTGACTTGAGGGGAAAAAAATAGTTTCTCTGAATTGATGGGAATAAAAGCAAAAATCTACCTATAGATATCAGGGAAGCTAGCTCGCTAAATATCTTTCAAAGAAAGCTAAAAATGTATCTGTTCACCTTAGCCTTTAACTAACTAGTTCTGAATTTCCTGATACAGGTCTGAAACTCTGTTTTGTTCTTTAATTTATAGTTTTACAACTCTGTGATTTAATGAATCAGTTAGTCCATGTTTTAAACTGTTTTAAATGTTCTTTTATATTAAATTGCCTTGTCTGTTGTATACCCATTATGTCTATTTTCATGTGAAGTACCTAGGGCTTATACTGCCCTTACTGTAAAGCACTTTGTGCTGCATTATTTGTATGAAAGGTGCTATATGAATAAAGTTTATTATTACTTTTATTATCGTTATCTTGTTAATTTAGAAAAACAAGAGCAGATTTTTTTCTCAAGTGAATGCATTACACTTCTATGGAAAAGCTTTATTTTCTTTGTTAAAAGAAAATATTTTTCAAGACTTGAAAACAAGCATAATTTTTCTTTTTTCAATGCAGCATTATTCTTGCTCTTACTTCAAGATACTGACACTCATTCATAGAAAACTCTGGTATGTTTCATTGAGTAATCATCTCACTCCACTGTCAGACTCAATAACTGACAAAAATTATTCATTAATAAAAATACTTTTGACTGTATACAGTAAACTGTATGTCCGTGTTTAATAGCCTGAAGTCTTCTTTCATAATTGCTGTGCACATTACCACCACCTGTCGTTCTGTGAAATAATGTGATACCATTTACAGCAACATATATTGTGTCACCCAGGTGTGTGTGTGTAGATGTGAGTCTTTGCAGTCATGCATGAGACAAGCAAAATGAGCACCCACTAATTAAAATGTTGCTTCATAGCTCTACTTGTCAGAAACTCCACAGGATATCTTTAATCTAAAAAGCAGATTAAAGATATCCTAACCCTAACCCTCATGTGAAGTACAAGTACTTCATAACTGTACTTGACTAAATGTACTTACTGTACTTCTATCTTTGCATACAGCTTAACTGAATCCGGCTCCACAGCATTCCCACAGCATTCATAATCATAAACAGAGTCGAAATCCTGCCCTCTAATGTTTATTTAAGCTGATGCCCTTTACTCTGCCAGAGCCTGCATGTGCCTCCACCACAGGCTGCCAGCTGCCAGCCATTCAAGGTACTACTGACACTGTCGGCCGGCTCATACTATGTGGCAGGCCTTGCCAACAGTAGGATGACGTGCACAAACACTTTTCTGTTAGCCTGCAGAGCCACTGCTGCATGACTGCAGAGCCACAGCGAGGCAAACTGATTTAATGCAAAGACACGTCCTGCAGCTTTAAGCACAAGCGTGCGTATCACTGGGCAGCCTGTGTGTCTGCATCTGCTGAGATACTCTGCTGAATATGGAAGAGTCTTGCAGGACTCTGCAGTATTCATTTTTCCTCTATGTGGCGTCGAGGGCTTCACAATAACAAGCTCTTTTCTATGGGCACTTGTCTTTTGCCGCACTCGGTTACAGCTGTGTTGTGCACTCACTGGCTTGGGTTCCATTTCTCTGGATGGGGCATTCAGCCCAAGGCAGTGGATACTGAAAAGACTGGAAGAAATAGAAGATGCTCCAGCCAATAATCACATTATAGTAGAGGCCCACAAAGCCGCAAACCTGAGGGGGTGAGAGAGAAAACAGCATTACTTATCACTCCTAGAAACAATCACTGTGTCACCATAAAAATACACAAACAGCACAAGGGACAAACAGCATGCAGTTTGTAGAGGTGAATGCCTCTTCTTGAGTCAGGGCACAGACGCTGAGCACACAGCTTAAGTCTGAGTGTGGATGAATTATTAAGCTGTTTGCTCTCAGCAGCCAAGGCTGGGGTCCTCTATGAGAAGGTATTTATAGCTGCTGAATCTCCCTCTGCCACATCCAGGCTGCCACACGCCTCACTGCCCCAGGCCAAGCCTCTCCCTCCCCTCCTTTGCACTAGATTGATGAAATCACTCTCAGAAGGACTGACAAACAGCAAGACTGACGCAATAGATCACTGACTGTTTTAGGCCGATGACGCTGATGGGACGGGTACATGATGGGTCAGTACTCCTGCAGATGATGGGGACAGATTATGACAGTGATCTGTGCTGGTCTTTGCATGCTGCTTGCTGTAAAGCATCACAGGGATGTAATACGAGCAGACAGAGGGGAGTCCAGGAGACTGAGCTCGACAGCAAGTTTGTTGTCACTGCACATAACATGACCAAATCTGAGTCGACAAGTGAAAGTGAGAAAATTGCCAGTTTAGATTCAACACCAACGACACTGAGTTGGTGTTTAAACGGGACAAAAATGCTTTCTTTATTTTCTTTCACGTATATAATGTAGGATCCTCACATTAAACGTGGCCAAAGGTTCAAATAATGAGGTAAACCTATATATAAAATTAATTCCTGTGAGCATAAACATCAGGCTTCAGCAGGTTCTGAATACTCTGTTTCCAAGAATTTTACTATTCTTGGGACAAGCTGACTTTAGCTTGGAACGTATTTCCTTATATGGTCATCTTCCCCAGGCACGCTAGTGCAAGTGTTACATTATGTAGCCTACACTGCTACATAAAGCTACGTGCTAACATCAGGGAAACATGTAATCTTGGTTGCTGATGTTGTAAATGTCTCCAAAATTTTGGGTCATAGTTCTGTTGGAACGTGTCAGGGTGTGTTTAAAAGCTTTATTAGTGATTTTTCGCCATAGAAAGCCCCGCTATCCCACTATCCATTTTTTTTTTTTTTTGAAGGGGCCTTAAAGAGACAGAGTGTCTCAGAAGGTGAATACAGGTCTTCCAGCACAGACAGCTTGAGGAAAATAAAGTTTTTTCTGAACATTAAAGCATGTAAACATGTTCTAGTAGAAACCCAAAATATAAATATGAACCTTAAATGAGCATAATAGATCCTCTTTAATGATCTTAAATACACATTGTGTTTCTTCAAAGCCTGCTGTAATCCTGAGTACAACAATTGTGGTACAACTGTTAATGGCATTTTATATAAAGGATCGTAAATTCTCACTAATAGGTTTATAAATGGTTAATCAATCCTTTATTGATTCTTAATTAGTTGGTGTGTATCCTCTGAAATTGCAGCTCCGTTTATTGTTTTACAGCTTCAATGGCTGACTGCAAAAAATGTGTCATGGTGTTTCCACTAATAATAAGACATCAAATATTAGCAGGTCATTAATGAATCAGCCTTCCTCCAGCAGGTAGCTCAAACAGCTTAATGGAACAGGTTCATTCAAAGAGACAGGTGAGTGGAGAGAGCTGCTGTGGTCGAGTTAAATTCATGTGCCTTGAAATATATTCCAATGGGAAGTTTCAATTTCACGGGGAAAAAGGTTTCAAAATGCCCACAGAAGCTTCTCCTGCAGCAAAATCCACTTCACCACTGGACATTTTCTGCTATGAAAACCACTGGATTACACTGTAATTGACACGATCTCATGCTGTGAATGAAATTATTCAAGCCAACAGAGGTTTAAGTGTTTGATATTTCAGTGATAGATTTGGGGTGTGTGCAGTCAACCCAATCACCAGAAAAACATGTTGGCATTGTACATTTCTAATAACCACAGATGTGTTACATTTGTATGTTTCATAGTGGTTATGTTGAAACTTTATGCTTCTTTACATTTGAATTTTCAATTTTATGTTGTGACAATGCTGTGGTTAATGTGTGGTGAGGTCTTGGCACAAAAAACACTGGATTAGAGTTAGGAAAACATCATGTTTTGGCTTGTAAAACCATGGACATGTCCTGAACTCTTGCTAAATAACACCCACTTTAGTTGATCTTGAACAGTGGTCTGCTGCTTGGCAGCCGTCTCACCGAGGTGTCAGGTCATCCCCTCCTCCTCCTGATGTTGATGATGATTGTTTTAATTATTAATTACAACATTTTATTATTGATCTGTACATTAATAAACCTTATCTAGAACTTAAGATGGCATTGTCGGTTGGTTGGTTGGTTGGTTGGTCCACCACTTTGGCTCTAACTGAAATATCTTAACAACTACAGGATGGACTTTCACAATAGTCTATACAGACAAACACGTTCCCCATGAGGAGGACATGAAGGATCCATTTGCTTTTCATTTAGCACCATGATCAGATAAAAATTTCTGTTTATCCCATACTTTCTTTCATGACCAGATACATTTAAAATTAATTCTCAGCTCTTCCTTTTGTAATGCCAGTTAACAAAATCAATATACTATTCTATGTTAAAGGGACAGTTTGCCCCCAAATCAAAAATACACATTTCTCCTCTTACCTGTAGTGCTATTTATCAGTCTAGATCAATCTGGTGTGAGTTGTCGAGTGCTGGAGTTGTCGCCCGTAGAGATGTCTGCCTTCTTGGAAACTAAATCGCACTTGGCTTGTGGTGCTCAAAGCGCAAAACTCAACGGCAATATCTCTTTCCAGGAATCATGACCCAGTTACTCAAGATAATCCAAAGACCTTGTTGTGAGCAGTTTCATGTAGGAACTGTTTTCTTTCTGCCAAACTACAAGCGCCAGCCAAATCATCGTGCAGAAGGAAACATGGACGAGAGGCTCATGCTGGTGACAGCGCTAAATGTAAACATTAATGGTGTCCTCTTAAGCTAAGATGTAACATTACATGTGCATGCTTCCTTCTGCGCAGTGATGTTTGGCAGGTGCAGTTTGGTAAGAAAGAAAATAGTTCCTACATGAAACTCCTCACAACAAGGTCTGTGGATTATCTTGAGTAACCAGGTCATGATTCCTGGAAAGAGACATTGCTGTTGAGTTTTCAGATGTATTTTTTTGGCACTTTGAGCACCACAAGCCAAGTGCCATCTAGTTCCATTATATTCAAGCAAAGGCAGACATCTCTACAGCTGATATCTTAACAGCACTACAGGTAAGAGGAAAAATAGGTACATTTAAATTTTGGGCTCACTGTTTCTTAAAGCAACACTGGGGACATTGTTGAATGACAGAAACAAACACACCCTCCCACTTCACATCTCTGTCACACAATGTCATAAAGTGCAACCAGAATGATGAGTTAACTGGTTAATGAGCTCATGTTGGCACTTACCATCAGACTGGAAACCCCGATGCCTCCCAGCTGTGGGTAGACATAGTTCCACACCCCGATGCTGCCACGCCTGATCCTCTGACCCACCGCCAGCTCCAGGAAGAACAGGGGGATGCCGATGAGCAGGAGGAGAATAAAGTAGGGCACCAGGTACGCACCTGAGACACAGGAGTGACAGAGGGAAGAGGGATTATGCAGAGGGTCTAACTACTTTAGTTATCTGAAGGTTTAAAATCCATGTATAGTGAGGGACAAAAGCTCATTGTAACACAGCAGTTCAGTTCTCTCTGCCAGGTTCTATTTTTGGACTCTATTCTCTTTATCATCCTCCACCACTCTAATTTCACTGTTTCCACTGCCTCTTGTCCCTCTCAGGCTCTTTCCTCCTTCCTCTCTTCGTCTTCATCATCAATTGCCATTCACCAATTCTTAAAATATGACCATCTATTTTTTTTTTAAGAGGGGACAACGGAAAGCCAGAAGCAGGCACTCAAACACAGCAAGTGACGTCCAGTCTGTCCTGCTTGCGTCAGGACACGAGGGCACCATGGTGACAAAACCATCCACGGCCAGAGAGGACGGGCTCACACTGACAGACAGCTGGGAGGAGCAGCCTGTCTCCAGACTTAAAACAAATGACGTTTGGCTCGATCAAAAAACACAGATCACGTCGTGAGTGGCTATTAGAGCTACAGAAGCAGACAGAGGAAACAAAGACAGGGGACACAGTGTCGTGTTACACAGTGGTATTATTATCTGAGCCGTTAGAAGTGACTACTGTGTTGCTGCCCACTTTCAATGATCTTTGATGTCTATTCTGAGCCGCAGACACACAGAACAGTGGAAATCAAAACGTGTCGGTGGAGAAGAGATCAGGACTAGCTCAGTATGTTCTTACCCTGAGGATGATTCTGTTAATTTTAACTACACGTTGACCTTTCCTCTGGCTCTGTGGATTTCTAAGGTTGAATATGTACTCATAACGAAAGTATTTATGGCACATTATGATAATGCATGATATCTAAGACAGACACAGGAATACAGATCCTAATGACTGGCACAATGAGGTCTAAGAACAATGAGCAGCTACAGACTATTTAAAACTGACTGAATGTTTGGCTTATTTTTGTTTGTTTGTGTGTGTAAATGTAGGTGTGTTACTCATAATCCTCCTTTGAGAGGATCAACATTGAATAAAGAGACGTTTATGAAGTCTCTAGCACCACCATCTACTGGCCAGTAAATATAAAATAACCAGATTTCAGTGTAATCGCTGCAGGTATTCATTCTCTTCAGAGGCTGAATACTATTTTTTCGGTGACTTCTTGACCTTTTCTGAACATATTCAGGCTCCACAGAGGATAAACCCTCTTGTCTTGTGCCCCCTGTCTTATTCCTTCATCGCTTCACAGCTTCATGAATCATATTAGGGCTGCTAGAAGCTGGTCGTGGTTCTAGTGGTTTCATTATTTTTCTTGACAACAAAAAGGTTTACTTGGTATTGTTGTCTTTTTCTGGACTACTGTGCTCTGCAGTGAAGACAAATGTTAATATACATTATACAAGTCCCACCAGGGGATACGAGCAAGACAGTACAAATTAATTACTTAAATCGTTTATTTGCAGGTTGGAATAAATTAGAGTAATTTGTCTTTACTGTTTCACCGAAACAGACTTGGCTGGATAGATGAGTTAGCCTACTTAACATGTTTTGGTGTCCTAAAAATTCTGTTTTAAGGGAAAGATAATGCCGAACAATTCACGTTGTCTATTAATAGCTTGAGGAAATATGTTGCTACTTAACATATCTGGCAAGTTTAAAAAATTTTCAGTCTTTTTCTGCCAAAACAGGCACTTTGGCAAGAGAGTATCCACTCACAGTGACGACAGAACCAAAATCACGATCTTCTCCTAATATTTCCCAAAGTGTTTTTGTTAAGACAGGAGTCTGGACACAAACCTGAAGTTTTGGTGTCAGGGTTCTGCACTTCACACGCCCATCATCCTACTCAAACAACTCATTAAAAAGCCTGTGCAGTACATGAATGTAGTGTTTTGTTACCTGAAAGAAATGTTGTCTCTGAACATGATCCAGACAGCGATTACATTACCACAACAATGTAATTAAAAAAGCAGTTTAGTAACAAACGTAATTTCTTTGAGACAGGGTTTGTGTTTCTGTTTATTTCATTTGGTTGTGTGGACTAAATAACATCACTTTATTTTGTGACTGACTGTCACTAGTTTTCTTTAAGATAATCTTTGTGACAAAAGAATTTAATGTTTCCATTAAATTGTCAAGCACATTTTAAGCAAACTTTTGAAGTGTTGCAAAAAAAAAAAAAAAAGACAAGCAAAGTAGGTGCATTTCCATCAGCTGGTTTAGAGTGAATAAGGTAATTTCGCCAGATGCTGGCAGTATAGACTATGCTTTACTCATGTAATCCGCCAGTAAACAGAGTGAAGTAGAGGATGCGATCTGGAAACAAAACAAGACGCTTTGGCCATCTAACCCATCTACAACAGGAATTTGTTTCAGTAAGCTGATCTTTCATGTCAGCTAATGTTGGTCATGTTTCATGCTGTCCCGAGACAAACACAAATTAAGCACAGAAAAACACTGACAGTGGAAACAGCTGATCAGTCATGAATTAAATGTTCTCTACGCCTAAACTGATTAGGCAAAGGTGTTTCCCATTTATCACATCAAGTATTTTTTAACAAGTAAAAACATTTTTTAAAAGTTTAAAGTTTTTGTGGCACGGTGGTGTGGTGGTTAGCACTCTCGCCTCACAGCAAGAGGGTTGCCGGTTCGATCCCGGGCGTGGGAGCCCTTCTGTGCGGAGTTTGCATGTTCTCCCCGTGTCAGCGTGGGTTCTCTCCGGGCACTCCGGCTTCTTCCCACAGTCCAAAAACATGCAGATTGGGGACTAAGTTAATTGATAACTCTAAATTGTCCATAGGTGTGAATGTGAGTGTGAAGGGTTGTTTGTCTCTATGTGTCAGCCCTGCGATAGTCTGGCGACCTGTCCAGGGTGTATCCTGCCTCTCGCCCGATGTCAGCTGGGATAGGCTCCAGCCCCCCCGTGACCCTCAAGAGGATGAAGTGGTTAGAAGATGAATGAATGAATGAATGAAGTTTTTGTGCAATTGAGCCTACTGCAAACATGAATCTGTCAATGCAAGAGCTTCAGACTGCATTTCACTCATCACAAACCTCTCTGCTGCTGAGTTTAAAATTGATTTTAAATACTCAGAAAACAAAGTTTATGGCTTCTCAAAAGTTTGCTCACAGTTGCTTGATGATTTTAGAATCTTCACTTTTTTGGGGGTCATTTTGCCTTTAATTGATGACATGCAGCAAAGGGCCACAGGCTGGAGTCGAACCTGGGCCGCTGCAACAACAGCCTTGTACATGGGGCGCCTGCTCTATCCACTAAGCCGCCGATGCCCCAGCATTTCCGCTTCTGACGGTAAATCCATTGAAAGCGTGTCCTCATACAAGTACTTGGGTATATGGATGAATGACAAGCTTTCATTTAATCTACATATTGCTGCTCTAGTTAGGAAGCTTAAAGTGTAGACTGGCTTTTATTTTAGAAATAAGTCTTATTTTACATTCAGTGCTAAGAAGAACCTTGTGGACGCGACGTGTCTGTCTGTGATTGCTTATGGTGACACTGTATATGCATGCAACCTCCTCCATTTAACATAGCCTTGATTCAGTGTACCATGCATCTCTATGTTTAATTACAAATGCATTTACTCATTTACTCATCACTGCATTCTTTATAATTTGGTGGGTTGGACATCATGGACCATTCACAGAAAACAGCACTGGTGTATTTTTTTTATCTACGTATAAAGCAATATTGGGTAAACTTCCAGCCTACTCTGCTCCCTCCTGTGTGTCAGCTCTGGTAGTTACCAGTTACACTCCTCCAGGTGGTTGCTTTTCAATGTACCCTGGGTTTTAACAGCTCTGGGGAAAACTGCATTTTCCTGTTCTGCACCTTGTACATGGAACAATCTAAAAGTAGAAATGCTTAAATCCATCAATGAATTTAAGGGCATCATAAAGAATTTGGTGACAGAGACATGTGCTTGTTTTTCTTGAAAGGCCACTATGTTTCAATAGTTGTTGTTTTATTGTGGATTTTTGTATTATATGTTGTATTTGTTGTATTTTAAATGTGTTCTGATTGGCTGCTACCTTGAAACACGGCTAATGATTAAATCTTTCACCTAACTAGAAAGACAGAAGAGAGAGAGAAACAGAGGAGGTAATGGACAAGGGTGGACAAAAAAAGGGAGACATTTTGTCTTCATCTCTGGAACAAGCCCAGACAAGACAATGCAGCACCTCCCACTGAGTCAAAATCCAGTGGGGGATATACACTCATTACTGCACGCACTGTGATTAAATGATTCAGCTTTGTTATATCATGCATTTCAAATACCCTCTTTACACACACCTCCCACACAAGGCAGAACCAACAATGTCTGAAAGCCCAGGAAATCAGTATTTACTCTTCCACTTTCTCTATCTTAGTCATCACCACCCTCTCATCTCACCATAAAACCCGTAAATCATAATAATAAAGAGATAAGGCTGAGAAACCTGCACGGACAGCAAACAAAGACTAATCCAGAGGATCTCACAGTGATATACAAAAACTCCTTAATGTTACCTCGTCTTCCTGGGGAGAAATTATCTCATCTTGTAGCTGCCGACAACACAAGTTCACAAAGTCTGAGAAATGTTGAAGAGACTGCCCCTCTGACTTGCACCATTAGTTGGCTAATTGGTTGACAGGATGCAATTTATCAAAGAGGAGGAGGCTGCGGTCCTGTCAACAGGGAAACTGAGCTGCACTTGTATAGGATAGTGGTGAGCAAGGTGCAGCACAGGCCATGATATGTACTGACATCTAAATGAGGCTAGAACACAAATGTACACGCGTTAACACATTGTTTTTAAATGCAATGTACCTGGAGTCACTGGTTTGGACAACAGAATTGTGTGACATGATGACATAATATATCACCATATGATCACCACATGGTCCCACTACAGGAGTCTTAAAGGTATAGTTAAACATTTTGGGAAATAATCTTTATTTTATTTATTGCCGAGAGTTAGATGAGATGATGCCACTACTGAGGTATTCGTGACTCTCATTATACCATATATAATAAGTTAGAACTAGCAGCCAGTTAGCTTAGCTTAGCTTAGCCTCACGCAAAGAATAGACACAGGAGGAAACAGCTGGCTGTCCAAAAGTCACAAAATCCACCTCTTAGTCCCTGTAAAGCTCTAATTAACATGTTGTTTGTGTAGTCTGTACAAAAATACGAAGTGTAAAAATGACAAGCTGTGGTCAGACTAGCTTTCCCCTGTTACCAGTCTTTGCGCTAAGCTAAGCTAACTGTCAGCTGGCTGTAGCTTAATAATTGTATAGACAGGAGCAGGGGTGGAACCAAGTTATTGTTTTGCAAGTCCCAAGTGAGTCTCAAGTCTTTTCGCTCAAGTCCAAAACTTTGAGTTTCGAGTCCTGATTTAAAGCCATTTTGATGACACAGTAATAACAGGCCTACATTAAATTTACAAAATTCATGAATTCTTTCCAAAAATTTGATTTATTCGTTAAAACAAGTTTGTTGGAAGTTATTGCGTCTCCATCTGTAATTTTTAACCTGCACATTTTGCATACTGCAATTAGTTTTTTGTTAGCCACATTTTTATGCAACCAAAATTATCTTTGGTATCATTTGTTCCGACTGGTGCTGAGTAATGTAATGTTCGTTCCACATAGTTCTCTCCTACAACTTGACTGGATGCTGTCGGATTGGTTTAAGTGGATCTCCAGGATTGTAAGTGTCGGCTTTATGGGAATAACCAACATTACTTGATTCATGAAGGAAAGGGAAATTAACTTCTTTGTGGCACAGTTTTTAAATAGCATACTTTTTAATCTTTGGGCTTGATAAAAGGTGTCAAGTATTTTCAAGTCAAAAGGCTGAAGTCCAAGTGAAGTCTTGAGTCACTGGTGATGAAGTCCAAGATGAGTTGCAAGACTTTTTTTGGTTTTGTCAGGTTAAGTCTAAAGTCATCAAATGCATGACTCATGTCTGACTCAAGTCCAAGTCATGTGACTCCAGTCCACACCTTTGGACAAGAGAAAGAAATAATCTTCTAATCTAACTTGGCAAGAAAGTGACCAAGCGCATTTACATGATACAGTAATGTAAACAAACATGAAGAAAACTTTTTAAGAGATTTATTCCATCTTGTTTTTTGTTTTTTTGTTTGTTTGTTTTTTAGAAAATAAATTTTGCAGCGTCTAAGCATTTTCTTTAAAAGGCACTTACTCCTGAGCAGCTGGTTAATGGCTCCAAATAATGTTGAATGTCTGTCTCTATGGCCAAGATGTTGTGGCAGTTTGGAGAAGTGCAACATTTTGGGCAGCTGAAACAAGAGGCAACCTCCGGGGCTGAAAAATGAAACCAATGTGGAAGTACCAAAAACTACAGTTCATCAAATGACCGCTTGAGGCTGGGTCCAAAAACGAGTCAATCCCCATAGGCCCCTGTGTTAAAATGCCCAACCTTTGCAGCCTGGTACAAAACAGTTTTGGTCTCTATAGCTAATTTCTCCACTCACAACAACTATACAAGGGGTGATTTTTTTGTAAAATTCACCTGTTTAAATTTCATTAAGGTTTAAAGTTTCACATATTTAAGGGCGGGTCTGCTTGAGTGACAGGCTGTCTGTGAGGCGTTGCTACAGTCAATGAGTCAGACCACCCCTCGTTCCTCCACAGGTCCACCCTCTCATCCAAATATTGCCACTTCTGGCTCCAAAAAATAACATTTGAGTCCACAAACCAAACAGTGGCATCACGGTGGGTACTTCCATTATTTTTATATAGTCTATGGGCTGAATCTGTCACCACACTGGTTTGCCCTTGGAATAAATGTGTACATGCTGGTTAGAGCAAGTGGGGAATTGCTGTGTTTGTGTCAGATACAACAACAGACTGAAAATACACAACAGTCTTATTGAGTTTAACTGGTGGAGGAAATATGAGCTGAATTAGTTGAAATCATTTAAGTATTTCTTTCTGTAATGCAATGCAAATTAAGGTTTTACAAGATAGAGCAATTCCGCATTAAATTTCACGCCAATGACAGAGACCAGTGGGCAAGCTCAATCAAATCATGTCAAAGCAAACAGTTGCCAGGCACAAAGCAGAGTCCTGGAAAAGACTCTGGATGTGAAAATGCAAATCTCATGCTCAAACAAAAGGATAAAATCAAATCGTTACATTCTATTAAGTTAACTGCTCCCAGCTGGCCACTTATCCATTAAGGATTTTACACTAATAAAAAAAAATCACATCACATCACTAACAGCATTGACTCAGCACAACGTGTCTTTGTTAACAATTACTCAGCACCCTGAGGGGACACATGTTCACCATGGGTGGCCCAATTAGGATCCACCTTCTAAACCCAGGAAGTGTTTCTACAGTTTGCACATAGGGCTTCACAAAGCTTTAAAGTTTCTGTGATTCAGACTCTGAAGTGTTAAAATGCACTTAAACCATAAAGACATCCATCCACCTACCTCCACCGTTCTTCTGGCACAGGTAGGGGAACCTCCAGACGTTACCCAGGCCCACAGAGAAGCCCACCTGGGCCAGGATGTACTCCAGCTTGTTGTTCCAGGCTGGTCGGCCGTCCTCGGCGTCTGGGTCAGGGGACGGTATCAGAGCTTTTACTGGAGCAGTAGAGCCAGGACTCAGACCCATACTCATCTGGCTGCTCTTATAGTCCATGGGGTGCTCGAGGGACAGCAGGTCAGCCACAGACTCAGTGACCGGCTCATTGCTGTGCTCCCGCTGCGTCACCTTGGTGTTCTTTGGCATGTCTGCAACACCAGAGCTCCTTCAGGCTGAGGGCGGAGGAGGAAGAGGAGAGCCTGAGGTGACCGACTGGAGAGAGATCAGGAGGAAGCAGGAAAATAAAGTTGTGCTTTTTTCTTCAATCTGTGAAGGAAAATAGTTGGAGACAGACAGGATATATTGATGAAAAATAATTGATTTGTTTTTTGTAAAAATACAAACAAACCTCTAGTTTCAACTTTTAAAATGTGAGTACTTGCTGATTTTCTGATCTTCCTATGATATCAAACAAAAACATTGTTGGGCTTTGCACTGCTGGTTGGAAAGAACAAGGAATTTGAACAAAAAACTTAGAATTTGATTTTCTAGTACTTTAACCTACAGACCAAGCATTAATCAAGAAACATAATGATGTTAAGCGATAATTAAAATAACTGCTAGTGTCAGCCCTCTAGACAACATAATAGGAACGTTGGTTCATTTTGGTTCAGAAGTATGTGCACTACTTTTTCTGTTTTCAAATTAGTACATAGAGGGCCAAATTCACAAAGGACTGCACGGCTTTTAAGCTGCTAAACCTGCACTAGTAAGATAAAATGAAACTGTGTTATTCTCAAATCACAAAGGGTGAAATGCATCGCTAACTGTGCAGCTAGGCAAATAGCATTCTGGTTGTCCTTTGCTATGTGCACATATTTAAATTAGGTAACATGCATACATTTGGCACAAAATTAGCCCTTTCTTTGCAAATAAGCCTCATTGCTTAATCAGTCAGATTCACAAAGATCAGCACTAATAGCTGCACCTAGTTACAGTGAAATTATTAGCCTCTTTAGAGAGTTGGTGGTAATTGAAGTGCACTGAAAACAGGTGTCACACCAGACTCTCCAGACTGCCTGAAGTTTTGAGGAATACCACTCGCTGGTCAGGACCTGTAGCTCTGATCATTTCAGTATATGTGAAAACTTTGTTTGGATCATCGGCCCACAGATAGTTTATGGAGTATTTGTAATCAACAATTCAAATGGTTGACTTTGTCTGTAGAGGTTTATCTATAAAATATGTGACAGTTCACGACATAATCTAATAATAATTAAGTTGAACTTAAAGTATTTACCCAACCCAACATTTCAAGTTCAACTAAATTATCCTGAGAACATACAGGTATTTGCATGAATTGCCACACATACTCTATTGATAATTTGTTAAACATCTACAGAATGAAGCAAAACAGTTGAATTGTTTGAATCTCAACTCACAAGCTGTTGACATGTTACAAATACCCAATAAACTATCTGTAGGTGGACTATCCAAATAAAGTGTTACCCACTTTACTTTTTCTCTTTGCTATTGTTCTGCCTACTGTTTTCTTGGCACAAAGGCAACATCTATAATTTGCCACGTGGATAATTGCAATCAGATACAAAAAAAAAGAGCAAACTGCATTCAGCTCCAAAACTTTAAGGGCATGTTTGCGCTGTTATATTATTAGCACAATATCTTTTGAGAATCGGACCTTGAGACAGAGCAGATAGCTGTTGCAAACGATGTGCAAATCATGGTGCTATCAGCGGCCGCAATCCATTCTGTGTGAATTTGCCCTGGAGTATTTTAAAATGGTGGTAAAACTGCAGCACTTCAGAGCCATAAGTGAAGTATTTCAGTAATCCACTTCATTATGTTGAACGAGACACAAATATTGAATTACGCTGAATTCACAGTAGAGCCCATTATACTAAAGTTGAGTCATGTGAACAGCATGAACAGCAGCAAGCTTTCTGCTGCTAGTCTCAGGAAAGCACAGTGCAATAAAACTAAAGCCTCTAAGCTGAGGTTTCATCAGTTATTAGTGTCGGTACTTTTTTCTCATCACACAGCTCCAACATCGTATCTGCAGGTTATTTTAATATTTTAAGAGTCCAGGAGTCCAGTGCTCCTGAAAAGAGAGAAAACTGCCTGAAAAGTTGGTTCTCTGGTATGTGTCACATTTTCAGAGGCCCTTTGAAAATCTAATCCACTCATAATCCTACAATCCTGTGTGTAGTGCTCCCCTGGGGGAAACTGGTGTAGATACAGTGTGAGAGCTACTGTATCAGAAATTATAGAAGGTCAGACTCTGCTGCATGAATGAGGATTATATGGTTATTGTTTAGGCAGAGCCAGTAAGCCACCTAGATCCTGAAATACTCATCTTGAGATCACTTTAATTAGTCGGTAACAGACTGGACAAAAAGGCACATTTAACTTTTTAAAGGTGTCAGAATCAACAAAGCAGAACCAGAGATACTGTCTTTCTTACTCCATGCATTCTTCTTATTGAACCTGCTGCCTACATTACCCACAATGCAACTCAACCACTAACAGTTCCATCAGAGATTCAGGTGTTATGTACTAATGTAGCCTCAAGCAGAGCTCACCTCTTTTTAACTTCATTCCCCCACATTTCTTTTCACTTTTAAACTTGTAATCTTCAGCCCCAGCTAATGCTGACTCACGTGACATCACTTGAGGTAATGTATGATTTCATGCAGCTTGTCCTGGAGCCACAAAAGTATTCATTCAACTTTTAGTTTTCACGTGACGCAGTAGTACTCCCCAAGTAGCCTGAAACAAACTACAATCACTGTTCCCCTTTAAATATATGGCACTGAGTGAGAAAGCACCTCTGCTCTTTTTTTAATTTAGGGGAGGTGGTCTTTGTTTCAGGCGAGGAGGCCTGCCCACCTCCGCTGTAAAACACTGTGGGAAAAACTGTAACAACTGGAGACCTAATCCTTTTAAATTAAAATGGAAATGTGTTACTGCAAGTATTAAACACTCAACATGACGAGACCATTGACCCTCTGTGACTGGTGTTTGAGAACGACATGAAAACATGGTGAGACAGTTAGCATTTATTGCACATTAACTAATTAACTAAAGGTCAGCTGAACAGCGAATGGTGCAGGCAATCTTGGTTAAATGCCAAAAAAAATGCAGCTACAGGAGCAGAAACTGACAGAAACCAGACTTTTAAGACAGATTCCAGGTTCAGCTGCGTGGGACGAGAGAGATCTGACTTTTCACTCTGACAGCTAAAGAGCAGAAAATAGAAAGTAGAGGTATTTGATCTACAGACACGGCCTCTAATCTGAAAACAGATGCATCCCACTGAAATCAGCGCTGAGCTTTAATTCACACTGACTCCTCAAAAATGGTTGCAACCTGGCTGGACTCTAAGCCCACCCACAGGCTGCACCAGCAGCATGCACATCACATTCCTCAACAGTGGCGATGAGCCCCTGCAGTCACGACACGCAGCAGCTCGACACTGATCCCAGAACAGTAGTGACCTTTCCCACAGCAGTCTACAGCTAAACAATACTGAGTCACGATCAAACACTGGCTGAATGAGGTGTGAAGCTACAATGCGCATGTTGGCAAACACATTTTGTTTGGCCGAGCTGCAGAGTTTGCTGGATTTGAAAGGTGCGTAGTGGAGTTCTGACAGACTGTTCACACAATGTTTTGCCCTACTTTTCTTATGAATGGAAATGTTGGTATAGTTAGTAACAAGCTGCCCCACTTACTAATTCTGGGTTAAGATGATGGTCGCCTGTTACACACACATGGCTTCTCACTCTGGCTTCCTAATCATGTGCAGTGGAAGTTTTCGATATTGATGCAGAATCACAGCGACAACTTTCAGAGCTTCACAGTATGCGCTGACAAAGATGGCTCGCTACAGAGACAGCAGGACTTCACGTACATACAGTGCAAGACAGTGTTACAGATTATGACTCAGTAATCAGTCTCCATCTGATGGTGAGTGGCGAGAGCAGTTTTTTTTCATGAGGATACTGAGGAGGACAAAATGTGTGAAATTAGGAGTGTTGAGGAATCAAGAGTACATGAAGTCACAAGAAAAGGTGCTGCAGAGATTGTATTTACTTTTCAGAGAAAGGGGAGTGGTGACACCAGCTCACTGTGACAAACTGTCCACAGGGAGCCAGATGTGTGATTCTGCTGCATGTTCCTGTAACTATATATTTCCTAATTCTCTGTAGACAGTTTGGTGTTGATGATGTAACAGCAGCACAGGTTCTCTGTTTCTCCTACAGAGATCAGCTCCACTTTTATCTTGTCTGGTTGCTAAGCAATGGCTCTTCCTGCAAAATTGAAACCCCATCCCTGCAGCATCAGTGGTCGCCTATCTCTCCTCTTGCCATCTCAAACGGACAGACATGATATCCCCTGAGGATCGGGTGCAAATAACATGGAGCTGCTCTGACAGGACTGAGGGGGGACGATGGATTGTGGCAAAGCTGGAGGTGATGGTCTGTTGGGGGATGTGTTGCATAGTCAGTCTGGCAGCCATCACAGGCACAGGTGTGTCATTGTAAAATGTAAGGTTTGCACAGATGCCATTCAGTCATGATCATTTACTTCTCCCACCACTGGGATTTGATCCTGAGCAGCACCGTGATTCTGACAGGTGCAAAACACCACCTTGCATGGCCATGTTCAGGCATCCTTCAGACACGTTTCACACAGGCCCATACACCACAGCTTGAGAACTCACTCTGGATGTAACCTCCGATGCGGAGTCAAGGTCAAATGAACCACATAATTATAGCAATGCGGAGATGCAAGCAACACCAATACATGTCAGCAGGTGATCAGCAGTCCCGCAGAATTTGTCGTATTCGAGCAAAATTCGGACACACACAGCGCGGCGGCGTCAAACGCGGAGGATTAATGAGCGACGCTCACCGTCAGTGTTGCGGCGAAACCACCATCTGTCAGGTGATGAAGTGAAAGCTGACGCTCGTCTCTATCAAGTCATTTTAAGATGTTTTTCCATCAGGAAGGGGACTCTTGCTGGTTGTTCGAGCGACTCACGACAACACGGTTTATTCGTCACAGAGAAACAAACACATTTAAATCGATCAAATTATGAAAATGGCTACAGTAATGTTATTCTTACCTTATGTCGTTTGCAGAAAGGGCGGAAGGGTCCGAGTCAGCGTGTCAGTATGAATCCAAAGTGAGTGCACAGTGTCTTCATTCATGCACTGTCTCCGTATGCAACATCTCTCCGCGCAAAGAGATGCGAAATCAGCTTCCAGTCACACAGGGCGCATGGTGCGTAAAGTCTGACGCAGGAGCTCAACGCCTGCCACAAGTTTGGTCACTCCAATAACATTAACTTGTTAAACTAAAGCTTTATGGCACCTGTTTATCCCCTTAACGAACCCTCTGCAACTGTGCACAAAACCTGCTCTGGTTTCCACGTGCTGGTGGCTGTGTTGTGAGATAAATGAGCTCCCCATAGTATGGAGAAATTACTATGGCAAGTCACGACGAAGTCTGACGCAGGTTTGACTCACCCGCTCGTGCGCACGTCAGCAATGGATCTAAAAAAAACATCTGCAGTGTTCCCAGGACGATAATAAGAGCATCACACAGGTAGACTGCAATCAGGTCCATCACACAAAGTGATTGAAAACGCTTCTTGTGCAAATGGTGTTTGGGTTGGACAAAATGTTCTCCTTGCAGCCCTATGATTATTATTAGCCTATTATTATTATTATTAAGAATATATGCACAAGTAATAGCCTAAGAAACAGAGTTGTGTCTTGAGTCACGAGTCACATGACTTTGACTCGAGTCACACTCGTGTCTCAAATTTGGTGAGTTTAGACTGGACAAAAACAGAGACGACTTACAACTCAAATTGGACTTCAACAACTCGTAGCGTCACGTGGATTTGAGCCTTTTGACCTGGAAATATATAAATACCTCCCCCCAGCCCAAAGATCAAAAAGTATTTTACTTAAAAGTGTGCCACAACTCAGTTTCTTGAATAAACTAAAATTGAAGCTATTCATTCACAGCATATTGACAGATTCTCAGATCCAGTATGTTTGAACCAATACGACCATAACCAATCAAGATGCAGGAGAGAACCCCTTACTGAGCGCCAGCTGGGAAAAACTATATCAAACTTAATTTCATTCATGGTGGTCCAAAATTAGAAATGGATAAACAAGTACTTCCAAGCACCTACTTAAAAAAGAAATCAAATATGTACAAATTTAAAATAATTAATCTAATTAATCTCTAATTAATCATTACCGAGTTACTACTGGACACCAGCACCATTCATGTTGGAAATACCGGGAAGAAACTGGCACTTTTCTACACTGTATTTGGGATTGTCCACTCATTTGGCCCTTTTGGAGTAAAATCCTCAGACACATGAATGAATGGCTCGGTAAAACATTGCCAGTGTCTCCAAGACTGTGTTTATCTGGGGACAGTCACAAGTGCATAATGTGTTAAGGGATGACTTCTCAGTTGTTATAGCTGGAGTCATTACAGCTCCAGAAATAAAAGAATGGGTCAACTATATGGCAAAAACTGCCTCTTATGAATCCATGCTGACTAGGATGACTAACCGGGCTCAAGGACCAATCTAGGGGGGATTTTTGGAATTACTTTGCATTGTCTCGGGGCCTGGAAGTGTGATTATTGTTTTGTTCTGCCCTGCCTTTTTTTTTTTTTTTTTTTTTTAAATATTATCACTATTAATTTGTATGTGTTTATTTATTCAAATTTAATTTTGTTATTTTGA